GATTTGCACAGACACCTTGTGAATGATTGGTATTACCAGTGTTCAAGAAACTGTTCAAATAAGAAAGAAAAGAAAACCCTCCCCTTAGTATTTTCCCTCACTTTTTGATAGGAAGAAATTTGAAAACATTTTTGTTGTTAATAGCATAATGATGGTGGGAGGGGGGTAAGAGGGGAATAAGAAAAATGTCATGAATGATTTTTTTCCAGTCCTGCCATATGTAACACTGTTACCTAAATTTTATAGTTAGATCATATTCATTCTACTTATTAAACTGTGTTCTATTTACCAGTGGGATTTTTCTGCAGGTGTTTTGCATTTCACTATAAGGATAATAGAGTTCCTCTCCTCTGCTTGCCTCAGAGGATGGCCCTTTAACATAGCCAGAGACAAGTCCTATGATTTGAAGGTGAGCTGTGAAGATGGGATTAATTGACATGCATCAGTTTACAAAGACTGTCTTATCTTCTGAGTATGCGCCATCTTTTTCTCTAGATAATTATTTATTACATCTAGCTTGGTTCCTACATTTGTTGGGTTTCAACATTGGCTCAAGAATGCTGTTAATATTTATTCTGTATTGATAAAAGTTTGTCTTGCCACTATGAGTAAATCCCCCAATTAATATTTTCTTCTTTAGCATAGCACTGTCATTTTTTTTTGTGAAATGGTTATCTGTTTATTTATTACAATGCTGAAGTCATATATAAATTTTCAATAAAAGCAGAAACTTTCTTACCTTAAACACTCTGCTACTTCCTTGCAATGAAAACTTGTCACTGGTTTGAGAAGTTTGTGTTTCTGTAAGACTTTTCATGTGGACAAAAAAATGGCTCACTTGAACGCTGGGCAGGATACTGGGCTGTATTTGGAGCTGAATGAGTTTACACCATCCCAAAGGGGCCCTGTTGACACACGAATTCGAATTGAAAAGCAATTAATCATATTTCCTTAAGCAGTCTTTTATAAAGGGTAACCTCTGTTAAAGATTTGAGGAAATTTGTGATTCCACAACACTGAAAAAATGCTAATATCTTTATGAATTCTGCACATTATGTTCAATTGTCATAAATTTACAGCCATGTGAAGAAGAACTACAACTTCTGATAACCTACAGATCTGTAGGTGCTGAAGTGAAAGAAAGAGGGTTATTGTTGGGGGGTGAGCAGAGAGGGTAATTGCTGCAGGTGTGTATGAGGTGAGGAAAAAGGAACTTTTAAGAAGTTCTATGCAACAGAAAGAAACTGGCGATTTTTTTGGTAGTTTCGATTACTCCTCCACAGAGGTGTCTGAAACAAAGAAGGCTCATTCAACAAGTTCGGAGAGACAGCCCACTAGCATGTATATTATACTTTTGCCTAGATCGTGTGTGTGTGTGTGTGTGTGTGTGTGTGTGTACAACACACACATATACATGTGTACATACACAAATATTTATATATACACACAAACTTGTTCGAAAGTATGCAGCCACTTACAATTGCCAGTCTTTCAAAATGATAATAACTTGCTACGGTAGAATTTCTTCACGACAAGGATTTTAAGAAGTTATTGAAAAGTTATTGGAACTCAATGAAATCGGGTATTTGCCCTCATTATTCGAGCAGAAGAGCAGAGCCAGCGGCTGCTCTCTGGGGGAAGATCTCAGACGCATGCTCTAAGCCGAGGGAAGTCGGCAGACGGAAATCGCCAGCCCAGAGCAACCTGAGGTTTGGGAGGCCAGCATCACCCACCCCATTTACTTTGGATTCGGGGAACCTTCCCTCCCGAGGAGCCTCACAGAGAGGCAACTCCCCGCAAGTCGCTTCTGACCTGCCAAGCCCTAGATTTGCTGCCTCTCCTGCCCCAGGCGGGAGCCTAGCGGAGGTCCCATTTGGTCTGTGGCGCCCGCACGCCCCGCAGCGGCGGCGGAGCGCGGCCCCCAGGACTAGCCGGGTCAGGCCCGCGGCGAGGGCGCCGTGTCCCGATTGCACCGCGTTGTGCCCAGGGGCTGCCTCTTGAGCGCAGGCGCGAGCCCAGCTTACGGAGAGGCCGGGAACCCGAAAGTCCGCGCTGCGGGAAAAGCTGTGTGCGCTGGGGTCGCTGAGGAGGAGGAGCGTTGGCAACCGACTGGCTTGGGCACTGCCCGCGGGCCGGTGCGGAACTTCCACCTCTGGCCAGCATCCCACGGCCACGGAGCCAAACCCCTCCCTCTGTACCAAGTGTCCTCCAGAGTATGGCCCGGCCTCGAGGTCACCTGGATGCTGGATCCGGGTCCCGGAGCCTAGCTCCCACACTCCCTCGCCGGCCCTGCGGGCCACGGGCTGAGTCGACTTGCCTTCCTTTGGCGATGCCCCCACTTCCCCTCCCCGCTCTTCAGCCGTTACTGGAGCGGTCGCGGCTTCTGGCCAAAAGACTCCCACCTGGACATTTGCCTAGTGACGGCCGCCTCAGTCCTCTACGACGCGTACGAGAAACTTTCATCTCAGTCTCTATTCTCCTCCCTCTCCCCTCTCTTTTTCTTCTCTTAATCCCGGGGTTTTATGCGTTGAGCATTAAGAAAACTCGCCTGCAATTTGGGATTAGATAAGTACTCTCATTGGCGGGGTGGGGGGGTGGGGGGAATCGTGCTACTTGATACCTCCCTACTTCCCCGAGACCGCGCAGCATCTGGAACCCAGAGCGCCGGGCTCCCTCGTGGCGGGCCCTGGGGACCGCCTGAGCACATTCCAACGCGCACAGCCGCCCTACCTCGCCCAGCCGGACCTCCGCCCCGCGCGGCAGCTGCAGGCATAACCGGGCGCCTAGGACGCAGGAGAGCAAGAGGTGGCGAGTCTAGGACAGGGCACGCACCCAAGCCCTGGAGGACTAACCGAGGCACACAGCGCGCAGGCCTGGGCTGGGGAAGCGCCGGGTTAGGGACACAGACGCTGCCAAGGCGCACCCCAGGACGCCCGCATTCGCTTCCCCCAAAAACTATTGTGCTTCAGCCCGCGCCTTTTCCCAGAACTGAAGGAGAGGGTGTATTTCGTTTTTTTTCTTTAAACCTCTGCATCGTCTCCGGGGTCTCCGAGCCGCGGGCCTCGCGGTCTACTCCCTGCCGGGGCCTGCGCAAGCCTAAGGTGTGTCCCCGCCCGGGTCAGCGCTGCGCTCTGCGCAGTTTCTTTTCCTGTTAAAGCTTTTCTTTCTCATGTTTTTCCCTTTTCTCTCGTTTCTTTTATTGTTTTCTCTCTCTCTCAGTCTTTCTCTTTTGTGAATGGGCTGCGGTGTCTTTGTTCTAGAGAGAAGCGCCCGTGTCGCTGACTTTTGTGAACCAGAGAAGGATCTTGTAAAACCTCCTTTTCTCCTTCGTACTCCCCCACTCTGACCCCTCCTCCTTAGCCCCTTTGATTAGATGTTCCCTCATCTTCCAAAAAAAAATGTAATTTCGTTGGTCTGGCGGCCACTTTCTTTGAACATTAGCTCGCTTTCAGCTCCAACTTCAATTAGAAGGAGTTGATTTTGAGAGATCAACAAAAGAACCGACCAAAGCCTTATTAAAGGTCCTAAGAAGATCTCCCGGGTCCTTTGAGAAGCAGTTAAGGAAACAGTGTGCCCTCCATCATATTCTGTTACCGTATTTTATTCGGACTCCAAAGGAAAGTGTCGCTTGGGGGAGGGGGAAGCACTTTGATGAGCGGCGGCCGCGGCCCCTTTTCACTCAGCGGACGCCCCCTTCTCCTCCTGCTTGCCCAGCGCCCGGTCCGCTCTCGGTGCCCGACCCCTGCGATGCGTCCGGCGGCTCCCTGACTCACCCTCACACCTACTCCTGTCCAAACTTCTCACTCAGCCCGTAGGGGTGGAAGGGAGGGGGATTAGGAAAAAGGGGTATGAATTCCTCGAAAGGCAGTAAAGTCGTGCCTAATATTCAGGAGGAGGTGCTATTTGAAAGAATTGCCTTGCTCAGGGTTGGGGCGAAAACACGTTTTTGTGTTTTTTTTCGCTTTGAAAAGTCCACCCAGGTAGACGTGTTTGAGAAGTTTGTTCGGCTGAGAAATGGGCTTTGCCAGTACGAACAATCCGGGGAAATCGCTTCAGGGAGGCTCCTGCTGCGGCGTGTGGGACAGAAAATAGAAGGCAGGGGTCTGTGGCCACCTTTTCCACCCAACTGTCCGTGGTAAAAGAATACCGGGAAAGAAAGACAGTGTGAAATAAAAAAGTTTCCTATAAAAAATGTTTGATTCAGAAGTACAGTGTGTGTGGACGGGGGAGGGGACACTGGGAGGGGACACGACATCTCAGAAGAAGCGTTTAAGATTTGCAAACACCTTTCGTGGGGATTCGGAACTTCAGAAAACGCCGAGTAGCAGGTAAATGGCGGGGCCTCCCCTGCGGGCTCTGTTCACGGGAGCTGGAGTCCTGAGGCGCCGAGGCGGGTTCTGCGCACCCGGCGCTGCGCCCGCGCTCGGCAGAGTAGCCTGTGCCGGCACGAGCTGCCCGCGGCGTCCGTCTGCAGGCGGCGGCGCAATGGAAGAAGACGCTGGGGCCCAAAGCGCCGCACGAGGGGCCGGGGGCCGGGGGCCCATTCTCTTCCAGCCCGCGGCGCCTGAGTCCTCGCGCCCACAGCACGGCCGCTGAGCCGGGTGGTGCGCGGGAGAGCTAGAGAACCGGTTCTCCAGCACCTCGCCTCCTCTCTGCCACTCCCTCCGGGGCGCTGAAAGGGTGAGAGAAGGGCGGGGACTCCAGGGCGGCCTGGGGACCGGCGTCCTCCTCCGCGGCCGGGGCTCGGGCTCTGTGTAAGCCTTCTTCGCCTGGCTCTGCGCGGAGTTTGCCAGCCAAGCCCGGGAGTTAGCGCGCGACCGGGGCGGGGCGGGCGTGCAGCGAGGGCGGGGTGCAGGGGGCGGGGGAGGGCGGGGGCGCGCGGAGGTAACCCCCGGCTCGAGCTGCCATTGCCCGGCTCCCTGTCACTCAGCTCGCGCGGGGCCCGGGATTGGCAGCCTAGCTCCGTTACGCACTCACCTCGCGTTCACATACCCAGGGAGGGCAGTAGAAAGGTGATCAATCTTCATCAGGCTACATTTCCAATCACCTAAACAACCGGGCAAGACAAGCCACACCGACAAGGTAAATCGCTTGATTTATTTAGTTTGCAAAGTGCCTCTGCAGGACTTCCCCAGCCCCCACCGCCTCACGTTTTACCGGGAGTGCAGCGGCAGCTGCGAGCTGCCTCCCAACTCTGCCCCTCTCACTCCCGCCTCCCCCCCTGAGGCCCCTCGGCACGGTCCTGGGCAAGGCAGTGTCTCCGGAGCGTGTGGGGCTTTGAAAAGTGTCTGTGCAATAAAGTGAAACTTGGAGGGACACGCATAAAGCCAGTGGAAAGAAAGAGACGGGAGGAGGGAAGTTGGGAAAAGAAGGAAATCCTAGACAACCGCCAACCCGGCGGATAATTCCTGCGGTTCTGTTTTGCAGGTTGGCTGCCCGGCGGGTCGGTGAGGGCGCGAGGTAGATGGTGAGCAGCCCCAGAGCTGAGGGAGGTAAGGAGAAAGCCGCCGGGCCGCCGGGGACTCTGTTACGCGCCTGGTGCTCTTGCATTCCCCTCTTCAGAGGGGTCCCCACTTCCCGGGTCCCGGCACGTGGGCGGGGCTGTAGAGCGGCCCGGCTCCCCTACTGGTGCGCGGAGGACCCCAGGGCCCCGCTGCGGCCCCGCGCCCCCGCCTCCTCCGAAGTAACCAAGCTGAAGTGCTAAGTTTAAAGTAAGTCTTTGAAACTCACACTGCAGCCTAGCAGAGTCGCCGAGGCCCAAGAGCCCCGCCTGTTTCCTTTTTTGTCCCCTTCCTGGGTTCTCCCAGCCCAGGCCGTGGGTCCCGAAGGATAGGAGCGGTAACCTTCTTTAGCTCTAACTTCTCTCCCTGAACTCCCTAGCCCAGGTCCTAGGCCTGCGTTGAATTCCCGCTAAGCGGGGTGAAGAGACAGGTCCTCTGGGGCCCCAGTCCTACTCCCTCAGCACCACTTCCTGACCCCTGAGATAGCGCCTCAGGTTCGGGGCAACTAGGGAAGCGAGGCTTCGACCTTCCAGCCCGGGTCAGCGCGCGCGACGCCCCTGAGGCCTACTTCTCCAGTCTGGATCCGGTCCTGGGATCGGAGTTTCAGCTAGTAGGGTAGGCAGGGAGCGCACGGGACCCGCTGAACTCAGGCCTCCTAAATCCTTTGGACTCTTTGGGAAGCTGTTTGGGTCACCTTTCAGCCCCCGCCGGGACCCCATTGTATGCAACCAGCACCCGGCAGAAAGAAGGACCGGCTTGCGTTGGCAAAGAAGGGCCTGTGGCAATGGCGATGCGCCCCTAACCTGGGGCCGCGACTTTGAACTGCCACTGCTACAGTGGCCCTTTCTGCGTCTTCTGGCTGCCTCTGGGGGACCTGGGTCTGTAACTGCGGTTGACGTGTGGTGGGAGTACGGGTGAGCAATCTTTCAGCGGCTGGGCACAGAGAAGTCAACTGGAGGGGTGGGTGGCTATGGGCTCTGGGGCCGGGACCCATCCCGGGAGATCGTTGAAGGAGCGTATTCTCCTAAGTGGGTAGTGCATCCTGGAGAGGCCCAGGTGCTGCTAGTGCCTCACCTTGGCTCTCTGGAATCTCTACCTTTCGTCCCGCTTCCAAAACATTTGAAACAAAACGAAACAACCCCTCATGCTTTGGGCAGCCTACCGCCCGGGCGCCGAGTGAACGATTGCTGGTGCAGTATGAGGCCGGCTCCCACCGGACCAGAATTTTGCCTAGACTTGGGACCTTGCACACTCCGCAGTTCAGGCTCTGCTTCCCAACGTAGCCCTGCTTGTAACCTCTCCTCACTCCTAGCGACGCCCTCCCAGTGTCTTTGACCCCAAGACCGAAAAGAGGCGATAACGATCCAGAAAAGTTTGCTTTTGCTCAGTTGACTGCCCAGCGTAGTCCATAGCTTGTGTCCCCTGCCCATCTCGTGGCTCCTTGCCTTGGACAAGACCAGGAAGCCTAGATGGCTCCGAATGACTGTTTCCGTTTGTCTCGTGTCTCCCTAGGCCGGGCCCCCAGAGGCAACCGAGCTTGAAAGACTGCGCGGTGGGAGCCCCGCATTGCGCCCGGCCCCCTGGATCCGTCGGGGCGCCTCCACCCGGCTGTTAGCATGATGTCTTACCTCAAACAACCCCCATACGGCATGAACGGGCTGGGCCTGGCCGGGCCCGCCATGGACCTCTTGCACCCCTCGGTGGGATATCCGGGTGAGCACTAGTCCCCTCCCCCAGCCCCTGCAAATCTTGGGGCACCCCAGCCTCTTGGGTTTGAGCACACGCTTTGTCGCGGAGCAGGCCCAGGGACCTAGTCTGCTTACGATACAGGGCACCCTTCAGGCTCACAGGGCAGTCTCAGGTCGATGAGGTGGGTCACAGGAGCGAAAACCGGCAACGTGCAACCTCCTGGGCCGCCACACCGGGCACCTGTCTCCTGTTGTGGCCTCACCGCCAGCATGGGTGACTTTTTTGGTGTGTTCATGTGTGAATCTCTTCCTTTTCCCCCAACACTGAAGGAGGAATCTAGTCACTCTCTATGCCCTGACAGGAAGAGCCGAGCTTCCCTTATGGCAAGCGACTGGTGAACTGAGGAAGGGAATCCTCCCTCCCTAGTAAAGTTGCCCTCAAAGACCAGTGGTCTGCACCAACTTTTGTACTGCGGACGTGGATGGCTTGAGCCAAATTCTGTCTTTTTTACCTCCCACTCTTTCACCCGCTTTTATTCCCTCGGAAAGTGTTTTCCAGTTAGTGTTTCTACTCACCCCTTCCCCACCCTCCAGCCAGGGAGTATGGTGGGGTGTGTGAAGGGAGACTGTACAATTTCTCTTCCTTTCCTCACCTCCAAGAGTCAGGGAAGGGGCAACCCTGGAGTCTAGGCTCCGAGTCGCACGCATGAACTTTCTCCCACCTGTGGCCTCTTAGGCTCGGCCTCCCGAGGGAGTTTCTTTTGCACCGAGCCCCGCTTTCTTTTGCAACGGCTTGGCTCAGGGCCTGCCGGGGGCCTGTGTACGTCCTACAGCGCGGGTCCTCGTAGCCACCACTGACCCGAGGCGCCCCCCCCCCGCGTATCCCCTCAGCTACCCCGCGGAAGCAGCGGCGGGAGCGCACTACCTTCACGCGGTCGCAGCTGGACGTGCTCGAGGCTCTCTTCGCCAAGACTCGCTACCCTGACATCTTCATGCGCGAGGAGGTGGCGCTCAAGATCAACCTGCCAGAGTCCAGAGTTCAGGTGCGCGCGCCCGGCGCTCCAGGGTCAGGGTAGAGGCGCTGGGGCTGGTGGAAGAGGGCCTGAGGAGGGTGGTCTTGTGTGGGGGCGGACTTACAGACTGGGCAGCCCCTCCCGGACTCCCCCTAGCTCTGGCCCAGGCCTGGAAGAGGGAGCAAAGTTAAAGGAACTAGCTTAGAGACCTAGATTCGGCCCTTGGCCCCGGGGCGCCTTCGGTATCGAAAGCCCTTTTTAGGATTGCGGGAGGACAAGCGAGGCTCCCGAACATAAAGAGTCCTGAGGGCCTGACACTTGCCCCCTGCTTCTTCGGCCGCCCCAGGACTTGGCAGTTTCCTTCGGGGTACTGAATGCTGCCTCCGCCTTGGCCTTGCGTCCCGGGGATCCTGGAAATGGAAGAGTGAGCTTGGCCGGAGCCTGGTGCCCTGTCTGGGAGTGCGCTTGGAGGGTAGCGCCAGTTTGATTAGACGCTTCCTTTGCCTGGAGAGGATGCCGAACGCAAAACCCGCCGATCGGCTTTACCGTTTCTGTTTTTGCGATGAAAGGGTCCCGAAAAATTGGATTATAACTCGGAACTTTCCTCCAGGGCCTTTTATCTCGCCTTCTTTTCCCGGAGGCTCGAGAAAGAAACAGGAATGCAATGCCAAGTACCAGGCTCTCCAAGAGGAGTGAGAGCTTTATGAGTGTCCTATTTGGTTTCCTATTTGGAGCCAAGAAGCCCAAATAAATTCTGCCCAGGCTTCCTTCCCTATTCCGCCAAGTAATGTCTCTGTTCAGCCTACGGGCCTTGCTCCCACTTCCACCCAAATTCTCGCCCTGCCCAGCACCGTGCCTCAAGTGGCCTACTGGCTCCGGCCACTGACTCGGTGACTGTCCTTCACTCTGCGGCCTGTTGTGTGCCTCTCGTCTGTTTCCTGAGCTCTAGTTTTATTAAACAGGGCCTCCACACATACACGGGGCTGCTGGGAAGCAGCCAACAGCAGCAGTTTAGAGATAGCTGAACTTCTGTCTGGACAGACGCAAATGTTCCGCCCCAGGGCTGAGTTGCACTGGGGGTGGGGAGGTGCACATCCTTACTTTGCCAGAGGAGGGTCTTTGAGCAGAAGGATGGGGGAGGGTGGAGAAGCTGGGAACGCTGGGGCTGGGGTTGGGGCTGGCTGTGCCGGAGTTGGGGAGGGGCGGAGGCCTAGTAGCAGTAGTGTGGCGGGCCCAAGGGGCGGGGGAGTATCAAGCTCTACTAGCCTCCTGACAAGCTCTCCCCCACCCGGCTTGTTGCAGGTCTGGTTCAAGAACCGCCGCGCCAAATGCCGCCAGCAGCAGCAGAGTGGGAGCGGGACCAAGAGCCGCCCAGCTAAGAAAAAGTCGTCCCCGGTGCGGGAGAGCTCGGGCTCGGAAAGCAGCGGTCAGTTCACACCGCCTGCTGTGTCCAGCTCCGCCTCCTCCTCTAGCTCGGCTTCCAGCGCCTCCGCCAACCCCGCGGCTGCAGCCGCTGCAGGCCTGGGCGGGAACCCGGCGGTGGCAGTGCCGTCGTCGTTGAGTACGCCGGCTGCTTCATCCATCTGGAGTCCAGCCTCCATCTCGCCCGGCTCAGCGCCTACGTCGGTGTCGGTGCCGGAGCCATTGGCAGCGCCTAGCAACGCATCGTGTATGCAGCGCTCCGTAGCTGCAGGCGCGGCCTCCGCCGCAGCCTCTTATCCCATGTCCTACGGCCAGGGAGGCAGCTACGGCCAGAGCTATCCCGCTCCCTCCTCCTCCTACTTCGGCGGCGTGGACTGCAGCTCATATCTAGCGCCCATGCACTCTCACCACCACCCGCACCAGCTAAGCCCTATGGCACCGTCCTCCATGGCCGGCCACCACCATCACCATCCCCACGCGCACCACCCGTTGAGCCAATCCTCAGGCCATCACCACCACCACCATCACCACCACCACCAGGGCTACGGCGGTTCGGGGCTCGCCTTCAACTCTGCCGATTGCTTGGATTACAAGGAACCTGGAGCCGCCGCCGCTTCCTCTGCTTGGAAGCTCAACTTCAACTCCCCCGACTGTCTGGACTATAAGGACCAAGCCTCATGGCGGTTCCAGGTATTGTGAACCAAGAATGGGAGAAGAAGAGAAACGCAACTACCTGCGCCCTCCGTGGTCCCCGTCCTGCTGCTGCTGCTGCTGCTGCTGCTGCACCACCGCCCGCCTTTGCCTCAGTTTCTCCAGACCTGATTTTCATGTCCCCAAAAGATTCCCATTGCCTGCATTGCCGCCCTCATCTTTGTGCCACTTGCTTGGGGGAGGGTGTGCAAACCTGCCCACCCCTTGGATGAGGGGACAGGTGCTGCGGCTTGGCCACAAATTCTATACTGGAGATTTGTGTGCCGTCTTCAACCCCCAACGAACTCCTACGTCACCCACTTCCAGTCTTTTTGGACAGTTGTTATGCACTTGTAGCCTTCGGAGACTTCGCTCTGACTCGGTGTTTGAGCCCTACACTTTTATTTATTCTTTCTGGACACTGGAGTCACTCACTAGCTGGCATGTCTGCCCATTGGAGTGCACCCACACTCTACTCCCAAACAACCACGAAGTGTGTCTCGCGTGCAGACTGCCGCCCCTTCATCTACCCTCGGCCCCACTCCCTGCCTGCAGGCCAGAGCTTCCCGGCGTCTCCTCCTCTCTGCCGAATGCGCTGGGGCAGAGCCGGAGAGGGAGGAGCGCGCCCCTAGCCTCTCACGCTCAGCCCCGCCCCGTGTAGAACTGGCTCAAGCTTCCGCCTCCGCGGGAATGCTGTACATAGTCCGGTCCGTTCCAGGGACCACTTATACTTTTTAGTTGCTGTTCGTTGAACTGAGCATATCTCGTCTTAGCGCCCAGGAAATAGAACTTTACGATATATACAGCATATATATATATATACACACACACACACACAGAGACACACACACACATATACACACACACACATATATATATATATATATATAAAACAAAAGCAAAAATATTTTCCCTCTGTCTCCCAGCCTACGCCCTCAAACGATGGCGCTTTTACCTTTTTCAGTTGTTGCAAAGCGGTCCTGCCCTCTCACACCATTTTTTAATTTGTATTTATTAAAAAGAACCGTTTGGTTCTAGGAACCTGGGCGTAGAGGATCAGAGGGCCCGGGAGTGTGGAGGAAACAGCCAAGTCAGGGTACAGGAGAAGGGTCGCAGTTCCGGTTTAGAGACCAAAAATAAGGAAAGTAAACAATAAATAAAAACAGCATTATGGAAAAACAAACCCAGGCCCCAAACCTCAGTTCCCATTCCTCCTCCGTCAGCTTCTCTCTTTAAGCAACCCTGTTTTGTCTAGTGAGTTCTTAGTGCACCTCATTCTCCTAAATCTGCGGAGAGCCCGCGCCTGTGTATCAATTTTGGCTTTGGCCGTTTCATCCAGTAGGTGGGAAAGTAATTTGTAAATTTGATTTGTCCGATGTGAAGATCACAAATTACTTGTTGAAATGTAAGGCAGTCCCCTTTCTCCTTTATCTACATTATTTCCCGAAAATAAATGCAAATTAATGAACAGCTTGTCAGTGTGACTCTTCTGATTCCAGACCCGGGTCCCGGTCTCGGGGGGTCCTTAAAAGAAGGGAAACTCCCGTGTTAATAACCCGCGCGTTGATGACCTGTATGAAGCTGGAGGCCAAAGGATAGGGTGGGAGGACTGGGCAAGAAGACAGCCAGAAACGTTCTCTTAGGGAGTGCTGTCCCCTCCCGGTCAGCCCGGCCTCTTCCCCCAGGCATTTTGACCCCCGCATCCCCTCTCGCCATCCAGGACAGACAGGTGTCAGGACTCAATTCCCGAAGCAATTCCTTTCTCTTCAGAGGCAGGAGCCTGGCGCTGATTTCTTCACCCTAATTGCCTGCACCAGAAAGAAGGGGGAGGGGAAGAGAGTCGGGAGGCGGGAAAGGACAGCTCTGTAATGCTCTCAGAGCTAAGCCAAAAAGGAAAAGAAAACAAAACGATAAACAAAAAACCAAAAAAAAAAAAACCACCCCAAAAAACGATCCATGTCCTGCATGATGGCAGCAAGCGACCTTCCTTGCAGCTGAGCTGTCCCGGGTGGCTTCACGGCGGCCAGGGGATTCGAGTCATTCCTTCCACGTGCTCAGATGTCCCTCTAAAGCCTCAGCCCCCTGCCAGAAGTAGCCAAATTATCTTTGTATTGTATAGTTTCTTTAAAGGGCAAAACACAAAATCTAGAAAAGTCGACAAGGACGCGTTTCACTTTGGCTTGCAGCAGGGGGTCATAAAGGAAGGTTTCCCCTTCCGCTGAGGGAAGACGAGGATAGGGGTGGGATGATCCCCCCGAAAACCCAGAGCCTGGAGCTGTACAGACTCTGGCCTGAAACCTCCCAGGTGTGAGGCCGAGAAGCTGCTCAACTTGTCCACGGGCGGAAAGGAAATAAGGAAACAACGAAAAGTTTCCTGCGAAGTGACTAACACACTCTATTCTTTTTATTCCGTGTGAGACCTGAGAACGCAACATGAGGCCGGGTTTGGAGAACGACCCCCTCCTCCATGGTCCCGCGCCGAGCGAGGGCTCCGGGATGGCAAGCAGCCCCAGCTGTGGAAAAGCCTCCTCGGCAACGTCCTCCCTCCCTTCCGACTCCGTCGGACCGGCCCCGGCGCCGCGTGCAGACCCACTTCCACAAACCCCATCAGCCCCGACTCCGCCGAGGCCCGCTGGAGGGCGCCGCCGCGGCCCTGAGGAGCCTGGCCCCGTGGCGCCACCCCCACAGGGAGACCCCAAGCGCAGGGCCCGGCCGCGCCCGCGCCGGCTCCTCCTTAAATGCCGGGCCGAGGCCGACCTGCGTGGTGCGCCGTGGCCCCTCAGGTCAGCGGCCGGCACGTGCCGGGGAGGCCGGGCCCGCGGCTGGAGCACAGAGGCTTCCAGCTGCCGCCGCACGGGCCTGGGCACCGGGGCTGCAGAGCCTTCCGGGTGCTCGACTCAAGCCGACCCTGTCGGTCTCGCGTCCGGGCCGCCCTGGCTCACGCAGCAGCCGCCAGGGCCGCTCGAGGCCCAGGTGCTCCTGCCGCCTCCAGCCGCAGCTCCCTGTGGGGCCCAGCGGTTCTCCTCAATGGGACGAAACCAGGACACCCAGCTTTGCACCCGTTCGGACACCTGTGTGGCCGCCGGAGCAAGGTACCCACACCCTTGGGCCTCAGTTTTGTCGCGTTTGTTGTTTGGCCCCCGTGGGCCTGGGGCGGTCCAGGACTTAACACTTTGGGCTGCAGCAGCCAGCGGGTAGGTCGGATGGGTCCCCGTGGTCCGGCCACTCCGGGGCGTCTAGAAGCTTCGGCGCCTGCGTACTTAGGCAGACGGGGGACTGGCGACATGGCGGTAGTTCCCGCCCGGGGGACGAGGCTTCGAGGAAGAGGCACGTGCTTCTCCGAGGGCCTCCCAGACTGTGCCGAGGCCTCGCGCGGGGCTGAGTGGAAGCCAGGAGCCAGAAGGCGCTGGGGCACCCGGGGCCGCCAGCACGGGGGAGTCGGGGGCAGCGGGGTAGGTGCGTGGCCGCGTTAGGGGGCTGTTGGAGGTGGCCAGGCGGGCAAGGTGAGGGCGGCCGAGCTGGCCGAGAGCCCCCCGGGCGGCAGCGGCGGCGGGAGCGCGGAAGGTCCCTCCCAGCCCGGCCACCTGTTAACTGGCAGGTTCTGCGAGAACCGGCCTCAGCTCTTCTCCCAAGGGAAAAGGTTTGTGCTGATTGTGTTTTGGTGTTCGCGAAACAATTGAAGCAATTAGAATTGGAGCAACTCAAGGAGGTTTAGCAACTTAAGAACGTTTAGCAGCGCTGAGACGTCAATGGTGTGATTTCTTTGAGTGCTCAACGAAATTTTCCTGTTTTCTACTCATGGCTTGTAATCTCTGCTCAGTAGGGGCCAAAAAGCCTACCCTAAGTGAACATGTGTGAGTTGCTTTAGGGGTACAAGGTAGGTCACATTTGTGATTTTTAAACGAAGTGTTTAAAAAATCTTAAAACCGTTTGGAAGGCACCGCATTAATTTGCTGAAGCTCTGAAAGGGTTCAGCGAAGTAACCGCATTCGTTGTGCTTTTCGGTACTCTTATAGTAGTTACTGAAGGTGTATGGAGACAACATTTCTCTAAATTGTAACATTTTTTTTGAGAAAAAATTCCTTACACCTGAGAGGAGAAACAGGTAAAAACACTCTGAATGTCAGTAAATTCATGCCTGCTACATTACAAAGATAAAAAACTTAGTGGTTTCATTTCTGGTGTCAAAAGAAAATTACTGGTTTTTCATGTATTTTGTTAACAATATTTGCAGTTTCACAGAAAAATTTTGACTTATTTCAATTGTGAAAATAAATGATAAATTCACTACTGTAGCAGAATTCATTAATGTTATTGATGTCATTAAGCACTGACAGGCACTAAGGATTTCTTTAGTGATAAAGAAATAAAATGTATCTGATATATTAAATGTAGTTCATATATACCTTATTGGTAAAGAAAAGCTTGTATCATTACCATTCAAGACCCCCCCCCCAAAAAAAAATCACTTGACTCATGTTGCAGAATTAATTTTAAGAACAGCAACAAGATATCTTTATGAAATTCCTTAATTGAAACTGAACAAGTTCCCCAATTATTTTATATTTTCCATATTTCCTCTCCCTTCCCCCAAACCTTTTAATGTCAGGAATGAGAATGAAAAAAGCTCATTAAGTTTAAGAAATATTTATATTCAACAATACTATATTTAAAAACCACCAACTAGAAAATAAATACTAAATAATAACAATGCATTGCTTATTTGACAACAAGAAAACTTTGACAACGAGAAAACTCCTCCATTATCTTTAAGAAAGAATCTGTTTAAATGTGTGGTGTTTGGAATATATTCTTTTGTAAAGGAGAAGCTTTGGGGGGGGCTCTTTATTTAGTGGGTGGTTCCTGAAAAAGCAATTATGCCCCTTAAATTATCCTGTTGCTATTTACTAATATCTGAAAAAAAATTGAATTTTTTTCTGTAGGGTGAGAACATACCATTTTGACCTAATGATTTTTAAATCATGCTTTTAAAATGAGTTGGGTTTTATTAAAAACACATTAGGTGAGTCTTTCAAAAGTTTTTAAAGATAAAAAATGTTTCCCAAAAAACTCAGTAATTTAGGTGAAATGCAGTTACATAATATAGCCAAAGTTGAAACTGCTTTTAAATATATCCATTTTTTCCTTAGGAAAAAAATAGAGCTAGGAAGTATATTGTGTGCTCACAAATAAAATGCATATCCCTCTAATTGTGAAATTATACATTCATGTCTCTAGGACTATTACTTCAAAGATAAGGATATGTTTAAAAATATTTCAGAGTTCTTTCTAATCAGATAGCACTTAGACTTGATTTAATCAAAGATGATCCGTCAAAATTTAAACATTGGAAACCTGTTGTGTTTCTAAAAATTGTACCCCTCCTATCCTCTTTGGATAATTTACTTGATGGCTAATATAATCAAAGACAACATTCCATTCCATTGCATTCCATTCCAAAAGTTATAAATACTTTGTTTGTCAAAGGTTATTCTTTATTGAACAACTTATGAAAACGATTTTAGAAATTCTTTTAAAGTGGATTGTAAAATTAGTATTTAAGGAACTTGAGTTATTTTTTTAGGATTGAAGTGGAGTATAAATAAATCACAATAAATTTTGACATTGGGGTAAAATTAATTAAAATGTTGAAATAAATGGTCTCTGGTTCAACAACTTGGTGCCTGATAGCTCATAAATTATTTTTAGGACACAAATACTCTTATGTATGTTCTAAATGCTTATAAGATTTCCCACATCTGTCATAGATATTTAAATGCAGGCATCATATTTTCTTTTTAAAGTTCATTTAAAATTTTTTATCATGAAATAATACATACAAAAGAAAGTATAAAACAGATGTATACACTTTTAAGAGAAATGAAAATTACTAGGAGCAACAAGTTCTTAAATTCTTGGAAAAGTTGTTTTGGAGTTGGTTACAATAAATTTAATGTTATATAAATTATGCCTATTAATGTTTTAGGGATTTGGTTAAATCCTTTAGAGTAGTAACTATTAATATAGGAACACCCCTCCCACCCACCTCCTTTTTTTTTTGACAATTTTTATAAGAGTTTATTTGAGCCAAAACTGCTAACAGTTGCTGGGAAGCAAGATCTCAGATGCTCTTAGGGACATCTTTTTAAGGCAGAAAAATAATTAAAATCATAGGATATAAAAGTTACATAGGTCTTTGAAAATCATAGTGTTTCTTTATTGATGGGAGAACTGTGCTTTATATTCATTTATATTCTTAATGAAGGAGCACGAAAATAATCTTGTTTCCCAAGCATGGATATTTGACCTCATCCAAAACTGTAGCTTCAACTCTTGATTTTATTACTGGTGACTCTCAAATCCATATTTCTAGCTCAAGCCTCTCTGTTGGACTTCATATATCTATACATCCACTGAAAAGAGGCCATTGGATTTT